GTAAAAAATTGGATCGATTCGTGGATAGCCTCAAAAGATGACCAGTTTTTTCGACGCGGGATTCGTACGCTACCCGAAAGATGGGAGAAAGTAGTGGCCAGCGATGGACAATACTTTGAATCATAAATGTATAACCAGTTTTTTACAATAAAGTCTCGAATTTCAGAAAAAAACGGCGGAAGAAAAGTTGTACTCCTAATATAGACTGATCTTATATTTCATTAAACGCGAGAACCCTCTTAACTGTGATAACTCTTAAAATATTTCCTATTAATCCATTCAACACATATCGTTAAATTGGACCAATAAAAAACTTCAAGAGTCACAACTCAATTATGTTAAAATAATCTGTATCTCCATATATTTTCTGTATCACTGTTTAGATTTATCATGTCGAGATAGTCTTTGTGGTTATGATTATTTAGAGAATTATATACATACTGAAGAAAGACCTGTGGTCTCGAAACGTATATGAGTTTTTGAATAAATACATAGTTTATCAATTTAATCTTATATCCTTTGTTAGTTCGTTGACCGAATTTTTGTATATTTATTTATTTATTTACATTTCTACCTTTCTCCTGTAAATTCATCAGTAATTCGTCAAAAATCATCAAGTCAATTACTCGTGTTACAATATGCCGCGTATATATTTCAATATTGAATATGCTGATATGGTTTTCGTATGTGCAACAATGGATTGAAATGTGTTTCAATGCGATGAGTAACTAGCTCATTATGGCAGAGGTACTCGAACTTAGCTAGATAGATGTTATTCGCGATGATGGATTGGACGTGGAGAAGTAATATTTTGACTCCGATTGCCTGATTTGACATTGGATTTCTTTGTGGGGAAGTAGGAAGTTATTTGTCATCAATCAACTCTACAGAACAATTGATAAATCGAATCGAGGTTGCAGTGCACCAAATATTATTAGATCAGTGTTTGATTGCAATAGGAGCTGTTGTATTAAATGCAATGCTTGTATTACTGCAAAAAGTCAACATTTTGAACAATATCTACATTAAGCAAGTGAATAAATACAATGTGAATAAGTAATGAGAATGAATAAAAATGTAAACTACCTTTTGTCTTTTTTGCGATTTTCTCTAAAACGAAGCAAAAACGAGCAGAACTTTTTCTACAGAACTTTTTTCTTATTATTTATTATTTTCTTATTATCTTTAATAGTTTATTGATTTCCTACATGCTCTCGATGTTTTGACATTTAAATTCCAACACTTTGTATAAACTGCACACTGCAAATTACTGTTACTCCAACTTGAAATGCAATCGGCATTTATGAACTGAAGCTAAAATAATAATATCACAAATTAAATGATTATCAATTCAATAATAATATTAGTAACCATCTTAAAACATTGCAGAGACATTAAGCATGCAGAGACGTATTAAGAAAAAATATTATCCTGAATGAGATAATGTTTTTCGCAGTAGGTTTCATGATCAGTCTTACTGCAACAAAAGAGTTAATGATGAAAATAATGATTTTATTTCATTTCATTTTATTTTTATTATAACGCAAGTTTGATGATAACTTTTTAATGTTAAATATATATTAATATATTCTTATATATTTCATATTAAATATGTTCCGTTAAATATTATATATTGAATTAATGTATTAATCAATCATCTATAATTTATAAAAGTAATAACAAATAGAAAGTGAGCAAGCGTACTTTTAATTAGTAACTGATAATGTATCTTTGACCAGTCAATACGATGTCGGACAATCATTTAATTTAGCTATCTCACTTATAATGTTATTAAAATTGTGCGCATTAGACACAATTTTGAATGAAATGAACGAATCTATCAGAAAAAAACGTCCTTCTGGCCCCTTCTGGTGAAACGAGATATTAAACATTGAAGTTGATTACTGTTCAGGTTAGAACATTTAAAATATCCGTTATGTTGTTACTAAAGCTCGTTAGACAATGAACTTTGCAGGCCAATCTACAGTGAATCAATTACAATCAGTCAGACTCATTATGATTGGTCCATTATAGATCGATAGTCAGAGTTAGCTGTCGATCAGCCTGCAGAATCGGTAGTCTGATATGGGCTTTAATAATGACAGTAATTTTAAGCTTTATAACCTGACAGAGATCAACTTCGATGTTTAATACGAAAGCAAATCAATAAGTTCTTAGAAAATCTATCAGAGAGCACTCACAGTGTCATGTCACATTACTTTTTGACAAGTAATCTCTGATTACTGTCAAATTTTAAGCGGAATTCATCGCGTGATTTCATTTCTGTAGACCATTAAAGCGAACAACTTTTGTATTTTTTGCAAAATGGAAAAAATGAGTTTCGTTGCAGTGATCAACCATCTACATATGAAAGGTTTATCGCCGAAAGAAATCAAAGCCGAGTTGGATAATGTTCATAGCACATCTGCATCAGCGTTTGCGATTACTGTATACAATTGGGTGAATGAATTTAAACGTGATCGTACATCCACATGTGATGCACTTCGTCCAATTGAGACTGTTACGCCAGAAATCATCAATATTGTTTTGACTGATCGATGAGTGAAAATGTACGAGCTTGTTGAAGCCTACAGGCATATCACATGGCACAGTGATTTCAATTTTGCATAATTGGGTATGAAAAAGCTATCGGCAAGATGGGCGTTTGCTCATGCTTATAGACCATAAACGCGACCGTATGACGATTTCAAAACAATGTTTGGAGATGTTTCAACATAATCCAGATAAATTTCTGCGTCGATTCATTATTATGAACGAAACATGGATCCATTACTTCATACCCGAGATGAAGGAACAATCAAAACAATGGACTTCATCGGGTGAATTAGCTTCGAAGAAGGCAAAGATTGTAAAGTCGGAAAGGTGATAGCCACAGTTTTTTGGGATGCACGCGGTATAATTCATATCGATTACCTTCCGTCGAAGCAAACGATCAATGGGGATTACTATATACAGCCTTATTGGACTGTTTCAACAACATTTTAAAGAAAAAAGTGCGAAGAAGAAAGTGCTCTTTCAAGACAATGCATGAGTTCACACATGCCTGGCACCGATGGCCAAATTCAACGAATTCCGCTACGAATTGCTTCTCTATCCAGCATATTCGTCAGATTTAGCCCTCTGCGACTATTTCCTGTTTCCGAAGAAATGATTCGGAGGAAAGAGATTCACTATCAGAGAGCAGCTCATCGCCGAAACAGAGGCTTATTTTGAAGGGTTGGACAAATCATATTATTCGGACAACTTGAAAAAATTGGAGAATCGTTCGGATCAAGTGCATCAAGCTGAAAGGAGACTATATTGAAAATAAAAATGAATCTATCAAAAAAAATGTGTTTTATTATGTTTTTCTAAAAACTTGACTTGCCCTCGTATTTCGCTTCACAACACTATTTTTGCAAGATTTATTTCGTGCAAAAAACGAAAATTATTAAAATATTGATTCTCCAATTTATATGGTAAAGTTTATTTTTATATTTTATATATATATTTTATATATTTTATATATATATTTTATATATAAAGTTACATATGATGTAAAAATATTAAAAATATAAAAATATAAATAAAATTAAATTTTTGTTGTTATTTTATCTTTATATATAATTTTTATACATTGGTTATAAAGATACAGCACTGTTTAGTCAGGTACAACAGGGTGTTGTATTTTTGACCAAAATTCAATTTTTTTCTAATGTTAAAAAGTTCTAATGTAAAACATAACAATTTAAGTTTATAAAAAATATATGTTAGTGTCAAAGAATATTTTAGAATTTTTTTTGAACATCATTTTTTTAGACATCAAAAGTATAGCTTGCACAAAAAAAAGTCAAAATTGGTCAAAGGTACACCACCTTCTCTTATCTATTTCTCTAATATACTCGGTATACGATCTTTCTGACAGGTATTCTAATTCGAACCTTACTGCAGAAATTCATATCCTCGTAATATTTGTGCGTTTCGACATTTATAAAAAAAAATGTTGCAACCGTTCTAATCACTGTACATAAAAGAGAATAGGTGTTGGCGCTTGTCTTTCTTTAAATTTTAGGAGAAACAATCGAAATTATGAAAATCATTTTACGATTAAAAGTTAAACGTTTATTACCCAATTAGTGACTTACGCGTTATTTGTAAGAGAGTTCAGTTGAAGATTCTCGAAGATTGCCTTTAATATAAATATTTCAATAAATTTTGTGTGATGATAAATTTTTGCTTTCCTTCTAGTAGAAATTTTGACTTTACATGATTTTACTTTATATGATTTATGTTTAATTTAGAAAAATAAATAAATTTAGAAAAAGGTAAGTATATAGCAATCTAAATATTTGTTATAATTATTTTCAGAAGCGTATACCTCCTCCGATGTACAAGCGAGAAACTAGATTTAAAGGGCAGAAGAGGGTATCTGTGGGTCGTGTGACACGGAACAACGATCCACTGGAATCGAGATCGAAAGACTCTTCGCGAGAATCAAGTTGTGAGGATGTTTCGAGGATTGTCAAATGCGAGCCTAATCTCAATGATGGATCGGCGAATATCTCGGTATTGGACGTACAGGTAAATGAGTTAGTCTATCAGAAGAAAATTTTTTTGATAAATCGTATTTTACGCGGTTGCAATAAGTTTTTATTGCAACTGAAGCAGTAACGGCTTTGCTATTACAAGCAAATTGTATTTACTATACGAGATAGATTATTTTAATATAAAATTTTGATAAAAATTTAAATTAGGGCCTGCCCCTAATGACCTTAACCTTGATATTGTCAAGATCAAGAGTGAATGATTTCCAGATTTTAGCCTTTGTTTCCGTTAAAAAGATATTAACAAAATAAGTTTAAGAATAACTCTTTTCTATTATACGAAACAGAAATCCTCTGTTTTTAAATCAATTTTCTGCTTTAAAAACAAAATTTTTCTTTGAAAACATATTTTTATATAATTTTTGTTTTTAAAACAAAGAATTTGTGATTTTTAACGACTTTACGCGAAGCGAGATCCATCTCACATTTCTCTCCTAATGATGCATATTTGGTCCCGCGCAACTCAAAGAATCAGTCCCTCTACTTTTGCTTCATCAATTGACGTCGCTATCACTGTTTTCTCCTGCTTAGAGGCATATGACTTTTAAGGAGAACGAGGTTTATCTCATGATTCCCTATGTTTAGGAGCGTATGATTCCACGCAAATCGAAGTTTACCTCACTTCTCTACTATATCCAGGAGCGCACGACTTTCCATGCGAAACAAGGTCCATAGTAACGAAACGTATAATTAATTATTTTCTACAATGTGCAATCGCATGCGGCATTTTTGTTGCAAATTTCTCTTTCCCTCTTTTTCTCTCTTTTTATATACGTATACAAGATGTCCCAGAATGACCGCCAAATTTCGTGCGTAGATAAAGCGTGCGGACTAAACTGATTGTATTATAAGTAACCTCCATATCTTGCTAATATATTATAACCATATGTTAATGTTAGCAGTAACTATCAAGTTTTACTCAAAAAGTATTTAATGAAAAAATATTTTATTATAGCGTTTTGAAAATGGCTCGACTTTCAGCTACAAGAATAGAGATGTAAAAAAACGGTTTTTAACTTCGGAGAAAAGTATTAAGTAAAAAATCAGTTTTTTTACTGTAAAAACGGTATTTTTAACCAAATTACATAAAATTCATGAAAAATCTTAAAATTCATGTTAAATAAAAGAAGAAATAGAATTTATTTTTCTTGTTATTTTGATATTTTTGTCTTTATTTTATATCGAAATGGAAATATGTATTATTAGCTGTTGCAATTTTTGATGAGATGATAATAGGTCAATAAGTCTGTTTGTGTTGCTTGCACTCTTTGCATTTGTGTCTTCTCTAATTTCGACGCCCGATAATAATAATAAAAATTATATAAAAATATATTTTCAAAGAAAAATTTTGTTTTTAAAGCAGAAAATTTATTTAAAAAGAATTTCTGTTTCATATAGAAAAGAGTTATTCTTAAACTTATTTCTTAAACTTATTTTGTTAATATCTTTTTAATGGAAAACAAGCGATGGCTAAAATCTGTTGGAGCTCATTCAGGCTCTTGACAACATATATCAAGATCAAGGTCATTAGCAGGCCCCTAATTTAAATTTTTATCAAAATTTTTAAAACTTTAAATACAAAAATTTTGGGAGATTTCAAGCAATGCGAACAGATCTAAATGATTTAAAAAAATATCCGAATAAAAAACTATAAAAGTAAAAGAAAAAAAAATCATTAATTTCTGAGTTTTTTACCCTAAAATTCTAGTATTTTTCCGTCGTTTACATCTCTTTATACAAGAATATACCTATAATAAAAAAATAGTAATTTTTATTTAAAAAATTCATATTGACTTGATCTTGATGTTCTATATACAAAATCTATTATTTCCATCTTCTTTCCTCCAAGAAAATCTACAACTTTCATATGAAATTAATTTTTTCCTGTATCTCTCTTAATTTCTGAGCGGTTAAAAATTCCTACGTTGTATTATACAGGGTATCTCATAATGACCTTCAAATATTTCGCGCACAAATAGAGCGGAATAAACTGAGTTGAAAAGTACTCTATCATTTTGCAATTTTTATAGTAGTTGACAAGGGCTATATTCCAAATTGATCGCCAGCATTGACAATGCTGGCAATCAATTTTGGAACACACAACCAAGATATTAATTACTAAATATTGATGTTTAATAATTTTTTACTCAAGTACTATCAATTTTATAAAAAAATAGCAAAAGATAAAAATTGTTTACTTTCTTCTTATAGAGTTCTAAGAATTTTTTCAGAAATTATTAACATTTGAGTATTGCATTTTTTTATTTATATTGGCAATTATTTTTATCTATATGAGAAAATACGAAATACTTTGAAAAATTCTCAGAATTTTATATGTAGAGAAAAAATAAACAATTTCTGTCACCTGCTGTTTTCTGTAAAGTTGACAATACTTGAATAAAAAATTATTGAAAACTAATATTCAGTTTTGAATAATAAATGTCTTGTTAACTATTGCGAAAATTGCAAAATGATACAGGATTTTCCGACTCAAAGGGACGTTTCACATATATAAATTTTATATAACCATTTTTAAATCACAAATATTTAAGTTGTGATATCGTGGCGATGACAATTAATTGTGTTAGAGATTGCATTTTTATTATTTTGTTATCATATTATTTCGTGTAAATTTATATATTAGTTTCCAATAACAAAACAATGTCTGAAAATTTTCTTTTAGCAAAATTTTTCCAAATTCTGAGTTCGTAAATCTAATGATTGTGTTTTCCCTATAGTGCTTTTGATATGATCATAGTAGTAATACTTTTTCCTGTAGGTATTAAATCTGAAATGATATTGGGACAATGTCCAGTCCACGAATTGATAAGAAAAATGCTATTAGAAACAATGTTTAGAAAATAAGCTTCTTTAACCACATTTTAAAATGATCTGTAAGAAATACAAATGTTAAATTAATAACTTTTTTGCGACTGTTATTAGATTCTTAAATAAAGTATAAAAGTATATCATAGAAATGACAGAGATTACAATTTCATTATATTATTTCGTTTATGCAAAGGACCCACTAATCCTATATGAAATTGGATCCTATATGAAATCAAATGGTTTTCTCGTATGTTATAGCTTATGATTTACTACACAAAACATGTAAGTTTTAGCGCAAAAAATGAACAATTTTCGTGTTCGATTCATTTCGCTGACATCTCATCATAAAATACTCAATTTGTAACTGACCTAATGGATAAAATTGTAATGTTTTGAAAAGATCTCAGCAAAGACTATAAGAAAATGAAAGAAAAAGTAAGAAGTCTCACTTAAAAAATTCGAGTTGATTTTGCTCTATCTTGGCGACATCACCCAAAATCAAACTGATGAAGCCAGCGGCTAGACTTTTTAAACTCTACAACTTTTATCTAAAATATTTTTTTTATAAAACTTATATATATAGTTTTCCAGATATTTTGCCGTCTCGGAACATTTTATGTTCCTTATATGATTATGTATGGTGTCACATATAATTATGTCTTATATATAATTACATACCATTATATACATACCATTATAATGTCCAAGATGTACACATGTATCAAACGAAGCTTTGTTACAGAATATATAGTGTAACTCCTAAGATATGAATGATGAGAGTAAGAATAATAAGCAGGTTCTAATCCATGGGGCTAGAGGGAGGTGCGAGGCGTGGGGAGGTACTCGTGGACGTAGGTGGAAGAGGTGCGAGGCGCGGGGGTACTCGTAGGCAGGGAAGGAGAGCGTGGAAAGGTCCCGGGACTATCGATGTTTACGTAAATATCAATACTAATGATACGTGTCATCTCATTGTGATATCACATATTATTGGGATTCTGCCGTCACGGTCATCGCCGCTGCCGCTGCCACCGCCTTCTGTAAGATGAAAAAATAATATAAATAAAAAAA